CTCTGGCCTTGGCGGCCGGAGAGCACTGCCCCCGCTCCTCCCCTGCCCCCTCTCCGCATCCAGCCTCGCGGGTGGGGTTTGTCTGAGAGCTAGGGTATCATGCTAGGCGATGTCCTGCAGCCGGTAGCCCCCAGGCCACGGGAGACAGGCTCATTGGGGTGTCTTCATCTTGCACTCAGTTTTTTGCAGGAGGCGTGGGATCCCACAAAACGTCCTGGAGCATTGCCAGGTGCCAAAGAATCTGTGGCTTTGTTTCTGCCACTCTGCCCCTAAACAAGCAACATCAAACAAACAATGTAAATAGCAAGAGCCTGTATTTATTTCCTAGACCAACACTTAAGGTCCAGATGGCCTCCTAACACGCAGAAGTGTGAGCGGGTAAAAGGACAGAGAGAGGGACGGAGAGGAATAAACAAGGAAGAAGTTACATTTGCAGCTAAGCGGTGAGATAGGAACTGCAGAGGCTCCTACACTTTTTATAGAGTGTACCACATACTTGAGCATATGTATGCTGCACCTCCCACTCTGTGCAGAGTATTGCATAATATTACCATCTGAATTTTTAGAATTAACTGTTTTAGAAGGAAAAAATGAATGCTGTTTTCCCTCATGTACAGTCCAACTATAGATCTTTTGTCTCTTAACGTATGTTAACTGTGGAATCTGAGAGCAGCCAGTCTAGGACAAGTCTGATTTGCAAAGTCTCAGGTTGGACCAGAGCTTGTTGAAGCTTTAAAAGCATGGGAAAATATGTTCCTTACTGCTGAACAATCTTATGTGTCACCTTCTAAGTATATACTGTGTATATAAAGGGTATGCTTTTTTACAAATCTACTATTCATGTATCAGAACTTGAAAATAAATAATAATCTATTCTTGTCCTGCATGAAAAATAACATATAAAAGATTTAGAAATAAAGTCCCAATGCTTTCGCTGATTTACATAGGATCTCAACCCCAAAAGTACAGCTATGTAACAGTATGGTCCTAGCCACGAAGGACTAAAAAAATATCTAAACCTCAATCTATAGATGCATTTGCTTCCTAGTTAAACAATAAATAAAATTATTTCAATAACTGATGAGCAACTTCAAAGGCTGAGAGAACTGGGTATATTCAGCCTGGAAAAGAGAAGCTTTGGGTGACGTCATTGTGGCCTTCCAGTCCCTGAAGGGAGCCAACGAGAAAGATGGAGACTTTTTACAGGACAAGGGGGAACTGCTTCAAACTAAAAGGGAGTAGGTTTAGATTAGGTATTAGGAAAAAAATTCTCCCATGTGAGGGTGGTGAGGCCCTGGCACAAGTTGCCCAGAGAAGCTGTGGCTGCCCCATCCTTGGAAGTGTTCAAGACCAGATTGGATGGAGCTCTGAGTAACCTGGTCTAGTGGAAGGTGTCCCTGTCCGTGGCAGGGGGCTTGGAACAAGTTGTTCTTTAAGGTCCTTTCCAACCCAGGCCATTCTAAGATTCTATGATTTTTCCTTCTTTATGTGAGAATTTTAACAGTAGGTTTTACTTGATTTTTTTTTTAGCACTTTCAGTATGTTTTTTAAATATGACGAGCTTTTGTAAACTTTCATTTTGACCCCCGTTTTGAAACATTATACTCTTAGATTTGCACTGGAGTTAGCTTATTATAATCACATTAGGTTCCCTATTAAGTTCAGTGGGATGACTCATGCACAGAGATGTCCAGACATCTCCGATGACTGGGGGCCATGTGTTACAACATCAAAACAAGTTATCCATCATTTAGTTTTATATCAAAGCTGTGGAACTAATGTGTTATTTGGAAAAAAAAATCTGAACTTCTCTCAACTCCCAGAGGCGAGTTAATTCAATTTCTTTGCTCTCCCAGTTTTTAAAGGGTACAAGTGCAAAACCAGTGATGTTGCTTCAAATGAAAGCAGGAGCCAAGACACCTCAAACGGAGTTGGGCACCTTCATTCATACTATTATTTTCTGCCTCTTTATTCAAGTATATAAAACAAAAAGGGAAGAGAATTATCATTTAGAATTGAGAACTGATATTTTTTTCTTTGTTGATTCATTAACCCTCAAAACTGAGTAGTGTTTGTATCCCTCTTTGGCTGGTGGTTCTGTGCTATTGCTAAAAAGGACCCCTGTGTATTAAAAGTTACAAGCCTGATAAGTCAAAAGTGACAATTCTCAGCTGCCATTTATTTCAGCTGGATTTGCAAGTGCTCAACTGCACTTCCTAAGACCCTTGTTTTGCGTGGAGTCAGCCTCACTAACATCAGAAGACACAAGCACCCAGCACTATCTCCTCAGTGGTTTTATTTTTTTTTCCTCAACATCCTACAGTTTTAAGACATTTTTTTTTTCAGTTGAAGTGTTCTTAAGACATGGTTTATGGTAGGAGAATTTTTATTTTTCCAGCCAAGCTTAGCTAAAAAAAGTTAACTGACTTTCATTTAACAGAAATTCAATGAGCGTTGAAGATATAATATACTAACCCTTCAGTATTATTTAATGGAGTGCGGTCCAGCAAAAAAGGAGTTATCAGTCAGCCAAAGAGCTGACCGAATCAGCTGTGAACCAGCACCAGCTGAATATCATACTAAAAGCTGTAGAAACTCGTGCTCAGAAAATGGCCTTGTAGAGAGAAATCAGGTGAAACATTCTGTAAAACACATTCACCTGGAAACTCCAGCATTTTCACAGTGTACAGTTGGACTTAATGATCTTACTGGTCTTTTCCAACCTGAATGATTCTATGATAAGTGCAATTAGTGCAGTGAGTGTTCATCTGTTTGGGGGAAAAACAAATTAGTACTGGCTATTGTGGTCTTCATTCAATCCTTCATGTCTTGTTTCTCTTAGTTGCAAAAAGAAAAATAGCCATAATCATGTTTCCAGCCAACACTGCTGACCCATGATACAGGAAAATGCAGAGGATTAGGAATGCTTTCCCTGGTTGCTCAGGCAACAGTGAGACACGGGAATATGAAAAGGTATTAACATCCTCTGGACAGTATCTCACTAGAGTTCTCAGATGTATTTATATTTGTCTATGTTCTTCTTCTTTCCCATTATCCCATAAATGAAAACATGAAAATTATTTGTTTAGTTTGCTACCTAGAATGTGAAAATGTTATATATGAAAACATATTATTTTTCTTTTTCCTACAGGATAAAATAAGTACAGTTTTCTGAAAGGCTGGAGAAATTTTCAAAACTGTGCACCGAAAGGTTTCTAGGTGGTATCCAAAACACAGCAACTACTGTCTTTCTTAAAAAATCCTTGTAATTTTGCGGTGTCTCTTAAGAAAATAATCATTGCTTCATCTGCTTTTTCTTTCCCACTTACATGTGCAAGTACCTAATAAATAGGTCCTGTAAAGTTCCAACTTCACAGACCTAATTAGCTGTCAAAAAAAACTTACAGAGAAAGTTTGTTTATAAAGGCTTCACTCTCCAAATTAAAAAAAAATGCTTAGAACACAGAAATGAATGTAAGAATAGCAAGTAAGTAGTATTTCAAGTTAAACATTGGCATGTTATGTGAGACAGGCACAAAAATTCTATCCGTACATCCACGTAAATTTTCATCATACATCCTTAATATAAACAGCAAACATATTTGTGGCTGGCCTAATTCATGGAATTTTGGGTCACTTTAGGGCTGAGTGATTTTTATCACTTGATATTTTTAAGTATGCAAACTATGTAAGGGCAAAAAAACCCCATAATGGGAGGAATATGTCCATTACGTGTTGGTCATCAACAGGCACCACCTGCAGCTCCACATAAGATAATTCCTTCTTTGATTAACAGTGTCTGTCAGGGTCACACACACCCTCTCATTTCTTGTGCTGATATTGAAGTACTTCAGTCTTGGCCTGAGTCACTGACTCTCTCAAGCAGGTGTTTTTCAAGCTCCTTTCATGAAATGTCAATGTGATTTCCCCCCCACCCCCTTCTAGTAGCTCATTCTCTTCATTGAAACATGTCCTCAGATGCCACACAAGCACTGGAACAGTTTGTCTTCACAGACAGACGTGGTCTTTCTGCTGCCGACCTGCTACATTTCCTGCTCTCTATTTTGAGTTCCTAGCTGGTACATACACAAAAACCAAATACACATACACTTCCAGGGTTCCTGAGCTTGCAGAGCACCAGCTCCCTGCATTTGTTGGGATAGTAGGTATTGCAGAAGAAATAGTATTTGGCTCTTGGACAGTGAGCTGTCACTGTATGGGGTTGGTGGGTGAATGAATGAAACCAGAGCATGGAGCTCACATACCAGCTGTTGAGATTGCTCTTGCAATTTCAGAGCATTCAGTGTAAGCTTTCAAAAGAGAAAACTGACAGAGAAACGCAGAAACACAGTCCCTGAAACACAAATTATTTTCTGGATATATACTCAGCAGAAAGACTGATACCAAAGAGACTGTATGTGCTATCCCTGAAACAAGTGAGAATAATGCTTGCTCTCAGTAATCTATGTACCCTCCTTGGTTGTGTTCAAAATTGTTCTTCTCACACCCATTTTTATCAGAAGTCCCCAGTGCCTCTTCATGTTTGTCCTCTGGTCAGACAGACAATTCCCAAAGGCCATCTTAGGTTGTTCTTTAAAACTATGCAAGTTCCTCTTCAACTACCAGTAGACTGCTCAGTACATTCCTTCATTATGAAGATGTTTTCTCTCTCAACCATCATTACAAAGAACCAGACAACTCTTCAGGTCTACCTATTCCCTTTTGGAGAAGGGCAAGAAGATTAAGAAGTTACACCCTGAATTCCCATTTACAGTGGTTTAGGAGTTCTGTCTGAATGGGTTCTTTGCCTTAACAGATGACTTTCTGAAAGAAAGCTCTGTACTCTGAAGATCTCCATAGATTTACTCAAATTTCTCTACAAGAATGAGCTTTTAAGAGTCTTCCCTGCCTCTCTATGTCCAGGGTTGCATATAGTCAGGAGGTCAGCCTGACTCACCTACAGTCCTGAAACATCTCCCCATGCATTCACAAACACTCACCTGGACAATGACCCTCCTCTGAAACCACCGAGCCTCATTTTACCATGGCAGAGGTAGCTTTAAACATCTGCACCTTTCCAAGATGTTAATGGCAGCTGCTGAGACCTTCTCCCCAACTTCTGTTACGCAGGGCACATGGCAGCCAAGTCAGATGCCAGGTTCAAAAGGACAATATTCCAACCGCTGTTTGACAGATGCAGCTAGAACTTCTCCCTTTCACCATTCAAGGAAAATGCAGGTCATCTCACACTTAGCAAGAAGTCCCTACTTAAGAGACAAGTGAGGCAAAGGGCTTATACATGATCCAGAGAGATATGAGGCAAGAGAAACCATGTCTCATCAGCATGGACCATCTGTGCAGCTACAGCAGGATAACATCAATACTGTCCTATCAAAAAGCGGCAGGCGCTGAAGGGTTATCCCAAGTGCTGCATGGCATGAGCTGCAACAGAGAGACTGCCAAGAAACACAACAACACTGCGTCTGGTTCCCAGTGAAGAGAGATCAGAAAATTCTGGTAATGTTGCACTTTTCCCTTCCTTGAGGTCTGTACAGCAAAACCGAACATTACTTAAGAAAATTTGAGAGTACTGAAAGCAACATCGCTGAACCAAACCAAAATAACTCAGCAGCTACAGAAGAGGGGGAGATTTGAGAAACACTGCATGTATTACTGAGTTCACATGCCCTCTCAACAAATACTTTTCTCTAGCCCTGGGGACTACGTGCTCTGAGCTCTGATACAGAGAAGACACTTGTCTCTAGGCACAAATCCCTTGGGATGGACTTTGGAATGACTGGCTGAACCTGACCATCATAGGGAAGAAAGTGTTGCAGTCCAAACGGGTTATCCACAACCAGCAGATGTACCTGCCTAGCACTGAACTATCTAATGACTGTATCAATAAGCCATGGACCTGCAGATACACCAGTTTCAGCATAGGCTGGAAAACTTCCTGCAGACTCATTCAAACTAAGTTGTACAGCTCCTTGGGATACCCAGTCTATCAGTAGGGGAAGCAGCTTTGAATTCCCAGTCTATGCTTGCAAGTAGCAGTGAGGAGACAGCACTGATCAAAACCCAGGGAATGAAATAAGGGGGGGGGAGGAAGGGGAAAGGAAAGAGGAAGCAGCAGTGGCTCTCCAGAGGGGAAGATCCCGAGCAGAGTTATGTGTATAGCATGAGTCTGGAGCTGCTCTGAACACAGACTGATACCTGATCAACTGCATTCCCATGGTGGCCTGGAGCTGACACTATCCCAGCAACCTTGCTATGCTGGATGCTGTGTAACTGCTCAGGGAAGGAGGACACAGTCAGAGTTAGATTGGATAAAGTTTTGTTATGCTGAATGTCACTCTTTCTGATCATTTTGCTTGGGACTCACTTCCCAGTCAGTTTTACCTTTTTCTTTACCTTATCCATAATTAATGTACTACACCCTGTGCTTGAAAAGACTAATGAGAAAGAATGAAACCCCTTCTCTCTCAAGTGGACAAATACAGCGGTAAAAAAAAACAAACCAAAAAACCCCACCAGGTAAAATTCTCCCACTTAAAGTTTCAACAGGAATATATTTATCTTTTATGTTGAAAACTGTCTGGAGTGCTTCCCTTTTGGTAGAACAAAGTTCAATACCCACAGCATAGTGCCATCCTTGTGTTGGCACGCAGAGAAGTCCCGCAGGCCAAACGATAGCCACCAGCAAGGCAGTGAGGAATAAATCCCATCTGTCGTCGAGGAGAAGTGAATCCCAGCCACAGCGGCATCAGTCACTATAATGACATCCCACTTTGCTTCTTGGAATCCTTCCGTGCAATGGGACTGAAGGACAAGATCTCCTTGTAAATAAGCTCTTGAAAAACACAACAAAATAACCATGAATGTGTGATTTTAGAGGACACAAATGAAAGATTGAATGTTATACGTGCAGAAAGGAGGTATTCAGTGACAGGTACGAGATGGAAGAGACAAAGGAGAGAGGCAAAAAAAGTCTGCCTGAAGAGCTGGAGGGATCTTTGCTGAATGCAGAAAAGCAAGAGCAAGGTAAGAGATGTGCACTACCATTGAGGCATCAGCAGGCAATCATAGCCTTACTCAGCATGTGCACAGGAAAGAGAAAGGGGTAGGAACGTCCCATGCTAGACAGGAACTTCAAAGAAAATAAACTTCTTACTTTTCCACTCATCTATTGAAAGCTTTTCATGTTCCAGAGAATCATCATAGGACTGTTGTGCTTCTGTCTCCTCCTCGACATCTCGGAACTGGTCGAAAAAGGGGTGAGCCAATGCCTCTGTGGCTGTAAGGCGCTTTTCCACATCAAGCTGCAACATCTTGTCAAGCAGGTCCACAGCTGTAGGAGAAGATGGGAACAGGGCTAAGTAAGGTGCTGTGGAGAATAGGAATCGTGTGCATGAACCCTGCAAGCTGATGGGACTAGTATTTCCAGTACAGCATCTCCAGACCTGAAAATGAAAGAGATTCCTCAACCCAGTCAAGGCAGTGAGGAGCTCCTGTCAGTGGAGTTGCAAAGTCTGTCCAACAGCAGCCTCAGGGAGCTCTTACTAACAGAACTTAAATTGTGCAGAAATAAATTAGTCTTGAATAAGCTTTGGGGCTGCACAGGTGGGGCTGCAGAAGGATGAAGAGCAAGCCAGTAGCCTCAAGATATTTTTCAGTTTTTATAATTTGCTTTCACTTAGAGTCCTGCATCTCAAAGTAGTCTTAACATGAGTAATCCATATAGAAATCTATACATCCATGGTAAACAGGAGGGCAGGAAACTCAGATAGCATCTAGTCTGTCAGTCCCATTCCCACTTGGTTTTAACATTTTAATGCTTTCTTTTTTTCAGTTTTTAGAACAGCTTTGCTTGCTTTCATCTCTCTTCATGGGAAGAGAGCTCTTTGTAAGAAATCAGTTTTGACTCTGAAAATGATAAATTAACATCAGCTGTCTGTTAAGGATCACTAGATCCAGGTATTCAACAAAGAGGATCTACACTGTACTTAGAAAAAAAATACTGGAGTGGACTGTGGGGGTCTTGTAGCACTTTATCAAAGCCCATGGTGCCTTAGATGTTAGGTTGGGAATTAATAATGAACAAAGAAGAGCTGGTTTGTTTATCTAAGAGCTACTGATCATATTGTCACCTGCTTGGCTACAAGAACAACTTCAGGAAGCTAATGTCAGCAAAAATTCATCCTAACTTTCATACCAATTGGGACTGATATATGCAACTGTCCTAATCCTTAATTTGCAACCCAGAACCAGGACATCCTGTTATATCCAGCATCTGCTTTCTTCTGGTTTGTTAAGACAAAAGTCAGAAGTTTATCTCTTCCATAAATATTGTTATGTTACAGACTGTGTAATTTTAAAATTAAAAAAAAGCAGTAAATGGCCAAGAACAGCAAAACATCACTATTGCAATAAAGATTCATTGTGTTTTTTACTTGATACATATTTGCTCTGGGAGGGGCAGGGGCATAACCTGCAAGGGAGAAATTATAAGAATTATAAGAAAAAGGAGAAATAGTGTTGAAGCTGTGGTGGTCAGCTTGCCTCTTTTCCAACTGTGAAAACTCGTGAGAAATGCTGGAGATGACTTACCCTGAGGATTTGCTTTAGGGAAAAGCACAGACAAATCCTTCTTGGGGATTTTAGGAAGGGACTTGATATAACTCTTAGCCTGAAAGAGCAAGGAAAGCACAATTACTGCACGTGGACAAGTGTGAAGGGATGTGAAATACAGCTTTCAGATCTCATGGCTCTCATGAGCAAAGGCAAATGGAGAGAACGGCAAATCGTCCCAGATGTCACATTTCAGTGAGCAGTTTACAAGGGAGTATTTTTATCAATTGAGATACAGAAATACTTCTGTTTTAGGAGCCAAGCTAGAGAACAGAGAAGCTTGCTGGTTGGCTGGGGCATCAGGCACCTCACATGGGAGTTCCTGCAATCCACACCAAGTCCATCAGTGGCACCAGATGTGCCACTAGCAGAGAAATGTCTTCCTTGCCAAGGGGAAAAGGCTGCTGTTGCGCTTCCTCACTGCTGCTGTAGAGGCAGCACCTCTCCCATCTCAAACATGTTAACCTCTTCCCCACCATATCTCTGCCAGCAGGACCTAAATCCATAGTGAACTTTTTTACCGCTTTATCCTCCAACTTCTCCAAGAAGTCTTCTCCTGGATGCCCCGTTACTTTCAGGATCTGAGTCAGTTGATCCAGGTCTGGCAAGCTATGTTAAAGATCACCTATTGAGGAATGAGCCCTGGACACCCTCCCACAACTCAGCTCAGTTTGTTATGATACAAACCCAACAGTTACACAAGTTCATTAGACTGGCAAAAAGAGCTCCAAGGCTTTTTTCCTGGCATGCCATTTTCATCAACAGATAATTTTTCTGGCACAGCTATGCCAGGACACATGTCCATGGTCTTGGGGGATATGCAAAGGTTTGGGGATGGAGCTATGGCCATGCAAGGTTGAACTGATAGAGCTCTAACCGCAAGGTAGGGCACACATGGCCAGCACAGAGGTGTATTTCTAAGGTCCCCTCTTACCTTCTGCTTTCCTCACCAAAAAGACTGGTCCCTGTGATTACCTTCCGGTAAACCAGACTGACACCTATTTTTCTCAGTAGCCTCATTCATTAAAAAGCACACACCAAGAATTATTACTCCTCCCAAGGAAAAGGTTCAGCTTGAAAGGATACAGTCTTTGCCTTTAAACAGCGTTTTCCCAGTCAGCATTTCTGCCATGATACAGCCAATAGACCAGATATCCACTGTTCAGAGTGAAAAAGGGGGGTGGGGGGAGAGAGAGGGAAAAAAAAGGAAAAAAAAAAAGGACAATGAAAAGGCAGCAATGATTGCTGGGGCTGTCACTTTTGTTGTTGCTTGCAGCAGGACTGATTTAAATGTCACTCCCATTCTCCTCTGTTCTTTCTATGCTGCTAAAATCTCTGCTTTCATCATTTCCCACAAGCGCTAGCTTTGGGAGTGGCACAACACCTTTGGGATCTGCTCCGCTCCCAGGAACACTGATGATAAAGAAGAAAAACTACTGGACGATTATGTGAGGTTTGACCCAGCAGAATCCCCAGGCTCGTCATCAGATAGTCACGCTGCAGAGGCAAGGCTGCTCACCTGTCTGGTTGTAATGCATCCAGTTCAGGATGACTTCTGGGGCTCTGTACCATCGTGTAACCACATAGCCAGTCATTTCAGCATCAGCATGTCTGGCCAAGCCAAAATCCAAAATCTGCAGTTGCAAAGGAAGACGAAGAAGGAAGGGCAGGAAAGAAAAAAGAAATCCTATGGGCAAGTAAGACTCCACTTCTAAGAGAAAATTAAGCAGATCCAATCAGATAATAACCAAGCTCCAACTACACCACAGCCAACCACGGGACAGTTCAAAGACTTAACAGGTTTGTCTTGATTCCACTGTAAATTGCAAGCCAGTTGCAAAACCAGTTGTTGTGAGAAGACTCTGCTGAAAGGATCGGGGCTCTGTGCTACCTGGAAGGTCACTTTCTTTCTTGAAGCTTAAGTTTCAAGTCTGTGCTTTATTTGAGTTGGTCTATGACCTAGTGGTGAAGGCATGCTCCCAGGCCACCACAACTCACCCTTTCCTATAAGAACACCTTGCAGCTGACAGAGGATGGCCTCTCCCTCAATACTGAAGATGAACAAGCTTGACCCAACCATTACGGGCAATGAAGCCACTCCCTGTAATATACATTACAGAAAATACATGCTAGAGCACCACACCAGCGAACTGCAAGCAAACCTTTCAGAGCAATACTAAAAATAACTTTGTCTGGAATCACAACCATAATGTCAATGGGAACCAAAAGGCAACAGTGGTTGAATCCAGTTACCCTTCAGGGATCGTTCACCTAATCCAAGTGTTGCTCAGCAGTATTGAATTTATCTAGGAAGTCATTAGAAACTGCCATGCCGCAGGAATTACAGTGACAGGATGTTCATTTGAAGTTTTGCGCCTTGATTCAGCAAGTTACATCAGCAGGTATTTCCCACTGCTTGCAGTTGCCAAATAACAAAATGCCTTGAATTGAGAAGGCAAGAGGAAACATGACAGTACCAAGTTCTTGCTGGCAGAGCAGTTCCTCCATGATCTGATATGCCACATGCTTCCAAAGTGGTGCTTTCCACCTACCTTTAGCTGACAGTCTTCGTTCACAGCCAGATTACTTGGCTTCAGGTCCTACAACAGACAAGAGCAGAAAAATACAGATGCTTCGAGTTGCAACACATCAACACAAGGCTCAGCTGAACCTCTGCTTGCCTTTGATGGGGTCTCGTAACATCCCAAGTCGAGTACCAATTCAGCAAAGATACCATGCCTGCTATACTGTACAGCTTTAGATTGCTGTTTTATTTTTTCTGAAACAGTTTTAATTCAAGAAGCATCATAAGATGCTTCTCAGCTCATCAGAAAATACAGCATTTCCTCAAAATGCTGTACAAATGAGCAAATTCAAACATACATAGGGTGTAGGATGGAAAAGAAACTCCAGAGCAGACAGTGCTATTAGTAAAATGATGTTTAAGAATTTAATAACTGTATGATTATGCTGTGTTTTTCAAACAGACAAAAATCAGAGTAAGAGCAAACATGAACTTACCCTGTGTATGATGCCGGCTGAATGAATATACTGCAATAAAAAGAGGAGCCACAATGTGATCACCAGCAGACAAGACTTTCTGTTCTCCAGCAGAGAAATGAGAGCTACAAACCAGAACTTACTGCGAAAACAACTCTGCATCCTGCTGCTGCAGGGCAGCAGTTTGAAAAGGAATCTCTCCCCTGAATTGCTGATAGTATTTGGAATGCTATTGCCAGTCTAAAGAAGATGCATAGAACAGAAGAGGAGGGATGAAGCAATAGTTCCTTAGAGCAAGTACAACAATAGCTTCAAACCATCAAAGGCATCAGGGTTACAGCAGATGACATGAAAACTTAGTTATTTTGGGTGTTCAAAAAAAAAATCTCAGCATAAAAACATAAAATTGCAAAAACTGACTGTATGGCTTTTATCACACCAGTTAAACCTTCTGCATATTCTTCCCCCCTTTATTTAAACTCAAGGGGGAAAGATGTTATTAAGGTGAACTCATGCCTGTAGCCACTGCTCTGATTCCAGGTGAAGGATGTTAGAGGGCAGCATTAAGACACTGTCTCTACATCCTGGGGTTTTCTGCAATTGCTTTCTGCTCTCTCAAAGCCAGTTACAGGAGCATATTCCTTTCTTATTCTACTAAATAGAAAATCAGTCCCTCTGTCTTCTCCCCTGAGAGCCTCTGTTATGAAGAAGCTCCTTCAGCAGAAGCTCTGTTGCTGCAAATCTCTTACTCTCAGTGTAGAGTTTTGCTAAGGGTTTTGGCAAGTCAAAGAGCAATGCAACTGCTGCCATGGAAAAACAATCGCAAGGTCTATGGCTGCTGATTGCTTTGATACCCAGCTGACGTAAACAAGCAGTCACTTCCATCGTGCTGGAACAAGAGAAGTTCAACAGCCAATATCTGTTCTTAGGTGATGCCATAACACCCCCACATCTTCCTATACAGTGTTGGAAGGGAGTTTAGTTAGGGTCAACCCTCCCATATAGAGGAGATAGAGGGAGTCACTAAACTCCTCCAGACCCACTTACCTTCAGCCCTTTCAGCATTTGGTAGACCAGGTACTGGATCTTTTCGTCACTGAATTCATGTCCCATGATCTTTTGTAAATCTGTCCGCATGTATGGCATCACCAGGTAGCTAAAAGGTAGTAAGACAAAGCCCTGAGTCTAGAAGAAAAATGCAGGGGACCAGGCTAGCCTTGGGGTTTTTTTGGCTATGTAACTTACTGTAACTAAAATGAGTTGCTGTGACAGTGTTCCTGGCTAACTAGCACAGCCTGCAGTGAAGCTGGGATTTCAACCTGCTCAGAAAGTTGCTCTTTTTCCTCCTCTTAAATCAGGTATCTGACATTCAGTAAGAACAAGGATCTTCACAATCCTGAATTAGTTTACTTTAGACCTCAAGTGATGTTTGGTTCCGGACAGCCTTTCACCACCCGGAAGCTGAAACATCTTACACAGCAAAACTGTGTTGGCTCCCAATTTTATCTTTGTAATGTTCTCCTGCCCTACCTCAAAAGACAACATCTAGCTTTCTTCAGTATCTGCCTGCTGAGACTGCTAATTAGTTGACGGTCTTCCTGCAGGAACTGCTCTGAGAACCTTCAAATGCTTTTCCTGCAGGCTGCTAAATACCTAGCCATCAGCCAAACCCCCAAACCCAAGTACATGATGCTCATTCCTAGTAATGGGGAAGGGAAAATGACTTGTCCATCCTGACCATAAACACTGAGGGGAAAAAAAAGAAAAGCCAGAATCAAGATGAAAAGGAAGCCAGATCTTTAAAATTCTCAGTTTAATTGCCCTGGGGCCTGATGAACAAACAATACTTCTCCCATTCTGAGTGCAGCCTCTTAGCTCAGCAGTCACACAGCATGGATCACACTACATGTGATAGCCATGGAATGTAACACATCCTCATTACATAGGTTGGTCTGTATATTCTGTGGCCTCTCAGCTGTGAGCATGGCATGTGATCTGTTTATGTATTCTGGGTGTGTTAGCCATGGGAACTGACATGTGCTTTTGATTCTCTGTGTTATTTGGGGATGTCTGGCTTTTAGTCTGGGCCCCTTGCACCTCAACCCAATCTGTTATCCTGCTGCTAAGACACAGGTGTCTTGGGCAACGGCTGAGTCTAGATAGAGCAAAAAACTCCAAACTTACAAGTCCTGGAACCCCTGGTAGGAGGCAGTGGAGGTAAAGACATCAAGCAGCCCAATGACCTGATGGAGGAGAGAAGTCCACATTTAAACCTGGAAAGCATTTACTGTGCACATGGGACTCAGGTAGTAGCTCTCCACTGGCACATGCATCTGGGTGAACACAGAACTCCATCTGAAGAATCCACGGACTCCTCACTGATGCTGCACAAATGTTTTTCTTTTACTAATACACAGTAGCACCCATTACACATCTGCTTCACCCTACTGACAACTGGGCCCAGCAGAGGTAGTACTTGAACCCCAAAACTGCCTGCACATGCCAAATGTCAGTATCTCTCCCTATATTAAAATAATCCATCTCTCTATATATATATAAAAGTAAACATGATGCCACCTGAAAGAACTTGCTCCCAGGTGGCAAGAAAATATCCCTTGTATCAGCAGGAAGAGAGAGAAATGAGTACTTACGTTCTCATGTTGCATGTGCTTCAACAGCATCAGCTCTCTGTATGCTCTCTTGGCAAAGATCTCTGACTGGAATGGGCGGCAGAGCTTCTTGATAGCCACTTTCTCCCCTGTCTTCTTGTCTATGGCTGAACTGCAGCAGATAAATAAAAAACAATTCTGACATTGGCAGTATGTTCTAACAAATTTTGTTATCCCAAAAGTCATCTCCTAGAGAAGAGTGAATTCTTGTGGTCACCAAAGAACAGCAAAGAAAGGCCCTTTGAGAAACCCAGTGGAGCTCTGCACAGGAGATGCTACCCTGTGTGGCTTTGGGCAGCAGACCACAGCCTGTGCTCTTTGGATGACTAGGTGGGATTCTTTGGCAAGTATTAGTGGCTCATCTTTATTCCCTATAACCTGCAGAAAGAAGCTGGAGGTAATAGAGCTGTGAGAAGAGGGAAACACAAATGGCTGAAATTCAGAATTAGTTCTAACTCTGCCCTCTTCCCTAATGCAAGAAGGTAAGGGAATAAAGCAACTTTTGCTTTGCCATCTGCTTGGAGGCTCTTGTCTTTTAAGGCAGGGCAGTGCCTTCACTGTATCCTGGAGACAGTGGATGTCACACATTAAAAATACAGGCTGCTGGAATTAATTCTGCTGTATTCAGGATCTTTGATCCTACACATACGCTTCTGTGTAAAAGCGGGTCTGGCTGAAAATGAGAGTCTTCTATAAAGGTAGAACATGGTACAACAGCCATCACCACAGACGTGATGTGTTATTCCCTCCGGTCACATTTACTGTTTATGTCACTGACAATCCTGTGACAATTTCTCTTCTTCTAAAGGCTTTTTGCTCAGACTGCAAAGGAGGCCTCAGGTTCCGAGTGGGAAGGGAGGTCCTCAGAGGTCCTCAGCTGTAATTTGGGATTCTCAGTGGTGCCTCAGTGGTGCCTCAGCCCCTCCTTGACCCCTCTCAAGAGGCAAACATGAAAAAATCACGCTGTAGATTTCCAGAGCAATTCCCACAGCTTCTTAAATCCCTATCCCATCTCTCATGGAAACAGAAGGGCTATAAATCATCATATTCAATCCCATGGCTTTTAGCTCCATCCTCCAGCCTTGCACAAACACATTTCCCCATTCAGTCAGTAAAAGCAAAGGAAGTGCAGGAACAGCTACACAAGGCAGCTTCAGCACTGAAGGTGCTGTAGGATATCGTAGGAGGCTTCTGAGTGAAGAGTTGTCTCAGCTTCAGGACTTCAGCAGATGTCAGCAGAGAGGACAGCACTGTGTAAAGTTTTCTGAGAAGTGAGGGAAATAAGAGGAAGACACTCGGACTAGATAGTCAATCAACTTCTGCAGAATTCAAGGCAGATTTCCTAATCTGAGGGTGCACGTTCTTACCTGCCTTCCCAGCTGCTGACATACAGAGCATCTAACCCCACATCCCAATACAGGAGAGCAGGGTGACGGAGCTTCAGCCTGCGCAGCACAGACGGCACTAGTCACACCCTTGCCATTAACACAGCTAGAGCTAATTCAGTTGACGCAGCTGAGGGAGCCCACCATGTTCTTCCCAGCACAGATTTAATGAACAGATACAATTTGGGATGACATGGGGCAGGCAGAGCTGTGTCCTTGCCTCAGCTGGCAGAGATCAACAAGACCAGTGTTGAAGGGGTCAGAAGACTCTTCTTTCCCAATTACATTCAGCTGGAAGCCAAATCACTACAGATTTTGGCAAATTAATAAGGGAAGAAACAAGACTTTGCTGCTTCTCCTGAGTTACTTTCTCAGCTGCTCAAGAAGGTGTAAAAGCCAGCTGCCGAATAACACTGCAATAGGAAAGTTTCCCAGCAATTCCCAGCAGAGGACAGCAAATCCTAACTCCACATGCTTCCACCTCTGTTTTGTACAAAAATCGGCACCAAGCCCTCCCTGCTGAGCACTGTCCATTTGATACTACCACCACCATGGACCTCCAGACTGTTTCAACACCCTTTCCTCTCTCCCTCCTTGAGAGCTCCAGAGCAGCTGAGACTTTCACAGGGAACAGTAAAGATTTGTCTTACTGGTGTTGGGGTTTTTTGGATGGGGAAGGAAACTTTGAAAGGATTTCTCTCTTCCTCTTTTTGTCCTGTCTTTGTTTTCCTTCCTGCTTTCCTCAATGGTAAAAACCTGAGAAAACTGTACAAATATAAAAAAATAGTCTAGTCTTGCCTGATTTTGCAGGCCTAACTTAAGCATCTCAGAAGTGTAAATGCACCTGGACAGCAAAAGGGGTACCCCTCTATAAATTGGAAGCCAAGGGACAAGGACAGAAGCTGGAAACCATGGTTTCAGGATTAGTGCTGGGACAGCAGCAGGATAGACTTTGCCCAACACCTATGAAAAGGGATACACCTTTCTTTTTTATTTTTAGTTCAGCATGTTATGAAACAAGGGCTCTGTTCAGATACTATCACAGACTGCTTCATATTTAACCTACCTTTCAAAGAATCGTCCGTCTCCTCCAGTTTGTCAGTGTAAACCAAGCAAGGTCTGACTTCTGCTTGCTCTCACTTACAGGCACCTTTACCCAGCTGAATAATTAACTGCAGCTCATGCTGCTCTCTCATAGGTTAGGGATTATTATCGGCCATGAAGGAAGTCCCAGTCTGCTACTGATCCCGGTTTACAGTAACATCTATCTACTTTATGATTTCAAGCTGGAAACAGTATCAGAGTGGGGGTGGTATTGTCCAGCTGCTTAGTCCAGGCAGACCAGCATCAGCTATCTTGGACTAAGCAGCAAGGATACTTTGTTCCAGTATCCACCTCTGTTACCATCTACAAATTTCTTTCAGACACCTAGGTATGCCCTTCCCTCGTACGGTTGCTGCCAGATAATCTTCATGCAAGCTCAAGACCAAAGCAGCTCAAAAGCTGCCTGACCCAATGCTGAGGTGACACCCCCAAGCTCCTTGGCACCCCTTGCTGCCGTGCCTACGCAGTCCCCTCTCTGCCCACCCGGGGTGACCACAGGGGGAAACATTTTCTTCAAGTGACCAAGTCTCCAGCCCGCTGCCTGCGAGCAGGAGACAAACCACCTCCATCACACATGCAAATGTCCTTTCTTAATGGAGAGGTGTTGACAAGCACCTCCTTGTTTTCCCCCTGGCAGGGAACACCCCTAGCTCACCCCGTACTGCTGCTGGCAGTGCAAGCAGGACCCCACTCACCACACCGAGCCGTAGGCTCCAGACCCCAGCGGGTGGAGGGATGTGTATCTCCTGGGCAGCTCCCAGAGGGTGTTGTTCACCTCCTGTCTGTAAAAGCCTCTTCTCCTTGCGATGTTCATCGCCCGACGGGTGTGGGAGTGCCACCCCCCCAGAGTACTGGAGTACGGGAGGGTCTCTGGGGTGAGAGCGTGACTGTGAGGCCTCCTGCGCTGGTAAAAAAGGCTCCAGCGAATTTCCTTCTCTGTTTTCAGCTGTTGCGAGCATGAAGGGACATGTCTTTTGGCCCTCCTCCCTCCGCCTCCACATTGGCAGAGGTGAGGCATCAGGTTTCCTGACACGCCTCAGTCTTGTACAGGTGCCTCTGGGCTCTGCTATAGGAGTGGAGCACCCAGCCCTGCTCAGGCACACCCCTGGGAGCCCTGTCACCTGGAGCTCTTACTCTCCTGCCTTCACAAGCCAAGAAATATCCTTATGCAGCTTGGAGGGGGTCTCATGAAATCCGTCCTCCAAACAAGTGGATGAGTAAGGACTTGTCAAGCTGGGGAATCCGAGGGACAAGCCACAGCACCTTGTCAGACAAGCAGGGACATTCTTCTTTAAAGCTGATGAAGGACAGCTTCAGCCTCATGACAAAGAACACACAGTGTTACATCCATAAAAGAGCAAGGAAGTGATGGCAATGTTCTCCGAAGTCTGGCTTTCCAGCAGTGCAGGGATGTGCTGAAAGTAGGCTGAGGTTCTCCACCTATATCCAAGTGACTATTGGGAGGAGGTTCAGGAGCAGCTGTGAGATGGGAACATCCTGAGAACTGTTTGCTGCATCTGGTTTCATCTCCCACAGCAGGTCTAACCCCTTCTTGGGGTCTTCATGGACACCAGAGAGCCCAGGTTCACTGCTGTGCCTACCATGACCAGGCCAGACCAGCAAACCCAGCCTGCAAGAAGGTCCATTCCTAGTAAGCAGATGGCACCTCAACATTTTGCTCCAACATTAGGAGGCTCAGGCAGGGCTCCCACACAGGAGGTAGGTGCATCCTACATGCTTCCCAAAGGAAGTGACTAAGCTGTGCCTTACCAAGCCAGCCTAGCTGCTTACACAGTGTTCTACCTCACCAGCCCTCCACCCTGCCTAGAGCCTCTGCTCCTTCCATACAGGTAATCTGCAGAGGTGTCCCTGCTCCAAGAATATCTGTGCAGCAAAATTAGAGCCAAGTGACCTGTCAAATGAAAAATACACAAAAAGCACTATCAGGGGGTTGGGAAAGATTCATTGTCCCTGCTTACAGGCAACCACTGCAATTCCTATCAGCATTGACCCTTATGTTCTTCAAGTAACCATGCTACAGCCACGAGTACAGCCTGCTGCTTTATAAAACACAAGCTAGGGCCAAGGCATTATGGTAGTATTTTAAGCCTGCTTATGCATATCTGTGTAAATCAGCCCTGGCTGTAGCAACAGCACAGTCAGGAAATGAACCATCTGCTTGGCTGGGTTCTATAAATACACCTGTGAGCAAGAAGTGTCACAGCAAAAACTCCTGGTCCATAAGCAAACATGTAACTCCTCGGTTATTTGATGAATGCAACTCTTGCTCAACTACTTGTGCACATGAAGGTAATCAGCACACAATTAAGGAGTCCTAAATAGTTGCAGCATGTCTGGGCTGTAAAAATATGAGTTAATTCAAGTGACCAAATCAAACAGCAAATTTTAGATTCATAGAAACCTTTAGGTTGGAAAAGATAATCTTGAAGGTCAAATCTAACCGCAAACCTAACTCTGCCACATCCACCAAAAGAAGTGATGGGATGACCCATACATTCTTCTCCAGGCACCTCGACAGTGCAGCTGGAGGTGATGATAAGTTACAATTTTTACTTTTGCTTCCCTTCTAGTAATAGACATTTCATCATGGACCTACCCAAACTCCGAGTTGTTCTCACCTGTGATGGCCCTACCAATGACTGGAGCATAGTTGGACAACAATTTGCAAGGGTTGCACACTGACTCTTAAGCTTCATGAGAGTAATTTGATTTTATAGGTGTAATTTCCCCCCTCCCCCAATTAAATTCTCACTGATTTTTAGGTTGGTTTTATTTTTTTGCTAACCAGGATATATTGTAACTGAGCACATTCTGGAATTGTACATCTTGGGTGTTTTGGATTTTTTTTTTCCCAGAAAACAACAAATGACTGATCCTGTTTAGGCTTTTGGCCTCCTCTCCTCTGTTTGCACCTAGGCCAACAGATGGTGAAAGCCAACAAGAAGGCTCATGGAGCTGAGAGAACACGCCCTCACTGTTTTTTGTAGTTCCTCAAATCAGCTGCTGCACAGCTCTGTGGCAGGGAAGTGCACACATTGTGGTGATCAGCTGCCCGACTGGGGTCAACACAACCACCCTGGTTCATCATGGCCTGGGAACTTCAGTGACTGAGGGATGCGCCAACTTGAAGAACATGGCTTTGCTCAATCTGAGTTCTTCTGAGTGAGTAGCACTGATACACAATAGAAGTTGGAAAAGCTCCACTATGGTACAGATCTTTCCACCACCAACTAGATGGCAACTGAAGAGGAAAAAAAAATCACTTTAAATAGCAAACAAGCACAAACCAGTACTACTGGGGAAGGGTCCCAGGGCCAGGTAAGCAGCAGAATGCTAGTCTATTTGTGTTGAATTATTGCTTCCCTGTGCTAAACAGAAAATAAAAGGTGGGGCTTTTTTTCTGTGTCCCATACTCACAGTCAGATTCTAAGCTACTTTTGTAGCAAACAATTCACTTGGGACAAATAAGGACAAGAAGCTCCCTGTCAGCAGTCAGCCACCAAGACATGGCCTTGGCCCCCGCCCCAGCCATCACACACAGGATCTCTTACAGCACACAGCATGCTAAAACGAACACTTTAGTGTAAGAGGTTTGCAAGTACCATCAGTGCAGTAAATCTGAAAAATAAATTTTATTTTTAACCAGTGGTATTGTGACATCTTATCTGGCATAACCAATTACAGCAAAATTCATGGATAGAAACAAAATAGCAGATCTTTTCTTTCAAGTGCAGCATCCTGCTCAGTCTGCAGGCAGCTGACCAGCATTGCACTGAGCAGGAGTGCATTCCACATGGGCTCCCTCAGGGACAGACTCCGAATGAAACATTGCCATTCACACACGCGCACAGACACACACACACACACACACACACACGCACAACATCTATATTTTTAAAAATTTTTAGCAATATTTCCGCATGAACTCACACTATAGCATCTACACATAAAACAGCTGATAAAAATAATCTTGCTGTAGGTTTACATAGTATATCGACATTTTCATCTGAATACCCAGACTGCTGGTCCAGCAGAGAAGGGAGGTTTTCTGTCTTGATTTTTTTAGGCTGTGGAGAGTTTTATCTTAGATATAACTACTCTCCTCATCTCAGCCCAGACCTTTATTAAATATTTGGCCTGAAGAGATCACTGGGAAGTAGCCTAGAAAGAATCAATGGCTTTGTCATTCATGTCCCATCCCTTTGTGCTGCCTCTTCAAACAGGGTAAAAACACTACAAATGGTTCCTCTCTGCCCCATAGGTAACAAGAATACAAAATACTTCAAAAGCCTTTCTCCTCACATACATAGTGATGTGATGAGTTGCCCACACAGGATGCCTGCAACAAATTAATGTCTAAAAATATCTCCTCCAGAAGCCCTAAAATTGGGCTCCTGAACTCCTCAGTTACAGTTCTAGCACATGAACGTGCTGAGAAACCTCCCTCCTGCCAGTCCCTAACTGGGTATTTTACTCCTGCAGAGTCCTGTAAAATACAAAATATTTGAACCCTGTTTATATTCAAAACATACTCTCTTCTCACGTTTCCTTGGGCAGAGATCAAATTGCTAAAAAACAGCCAAGAAGCTCTTATCTGAGAGGGTAAAAAAACCTTCTGGTTAATGTTAGTTTTATATATAAATATTTATATTTATAGATATAGACAGTGAAAGGGTGATTGTGTGTTTATGCATGCTTATTTCTTTGCTTTGGATTCCAATACTTCTAAAAAAATTCTTTTCAGGAAATAAGTTAAGTTCTGGCACAAGATACCATGTTTCTTTAAAGAACATTTTTTACACTTGATCTCACAAGAAACTCTCCAGCCCAAGCTCTCCTTCTCTGCAAACAGAAGGTCAGAACAAGGAAAAAGGGGCACATTTCTATATGCCATATAATATCTCCTTTCCTTGTTGAATGGCAGGTATTTCCCAATGAGCTGCAGCAAAGGAGGAAGGGTGCTGTGATTTCACGGCACCAGCTGAGGTACTCAGTAAACATTTCACTGATGATTTAACTGCCCCAGTGCCATCCCCAAAAAATAAGGACAAAAATCAAGCAGCTCTACATGCACATTCAGCTACAACATGCAAAACACACCACCTTCTAAGAAACAGAATACACATATGTGTGGCTAGCAAGAATCTTCTCCAACCTCTGTCTCTTAGGAGCTAATGCTGGGAAGCCTCAGAACAAGAGGAGGAGAAAAGGGAATAACACAGGAATACCCAATCCAGGGGTTGAGGCTGTTGCCTCAGAAAGTTATTTCCTGATTACATTGAGTTCATGCCTGGCTATGTGGGAGCCTTCACCCTCAAAAACAGTGAGTCAGAGATTTCCTTTCCCCTCTCTTCCCATTCATTTAAGGCACAAACATATTTACAGTTTCAAAACAACATCTTTTCATGTTCCAAGGATCAGGCGTTGGAAGGCCTCTACATTCTGCTGTACCAGGAAGATGTGGATATAAATCAGACACCTGGTACTGAATAAGGATGTTCCTTAACCCCATCTTCATGCCTGAAGAAAACAGAGGACTCTCTAAGCCTATAAACCAACTTTCATTATTTTGAGGTTACTTAGTTGTAGGAGAATTGATAAATGGCAATGATTGTAACCAAACCTTAAATGTCAACTTCCCCACCTTGCCCCAGCAGTGCAAAATGGTGGTGCACTGTTACTCTGGAAGAACTAAGTGCAGTCAGAACAGGTCTCCAGAGGCTTGCCCCAGGCTGTACACAGAATACAAGAGAGCATGCAGCATGTTTACATGGACTCAGCTTTCTTCCCTCCCCCCTCCCTCCCCAATTCAACACACACAAAACCCTTCCACCAAGGAGAATATTGTTGTGATGAGGCACTTGAACGATAATTGGAGAGTCCCTATGAAAAGGCCTTCCCTTCACAGTGAAGTGGGACAGACAGAAGAGAGCAGTTTCTCAGGACTCCATCTCCTCTTGGTCAAGCGGTGGTGGCACAAAGCTGATTACTTCATCGTAAGTCAGGCCTGGTGGGAAAAGTGTGACAGAAACTTAGCAGCAGTACTATGACAGCAGTACTAAAGACATCTCTTTGTGCAAGAAAACCTGCAACAACCTTAAAGGTTCTAAAAACATATTTTAATTAAGACAAAAAAGAGAAGAATGGTTACACTACTCTCAGAGACTAACATACACAATGAAAGAGCATCGAGATGTGAATAAGTTAGAAAACATAAAGACATGAGCAACTATGTTGCTTACATGTTTGAATGCCCCTAGTAATAACTAGTTACCAGGGACTATCCTAAATATGTGCATAGCATACGGTAGATTCAGCCAGTATAAGGACCTCAGGATCAAGAGGATGCCCATATTTTTATCACTTTCTTTTGTGCCTCTCATTACCAGGGCTTAGTTGAACTGCAGCTCGTGCGATGGACCCAGCTCACAGGATGGAGAAGACTGAGGGGAGATGCACTGGGGTCTGCAGCTTCCTCCCGAGGGGCAGCGGAGTGGCAGGTGCTGAGCTCTGCTCTCTGGGACCAGTGACAGGACCCAAGGGATGGCTGGAGCTGTGTCAGCAGAGGGTTAGGTTGGGTATTAGGAAGAGGTTCTTCACCCAGAGAGTGGATGGGCACTTGGAAGAGACTCCCCATGCAGGAGGGCAGAGGTCATGGTCCCAAGGCTGTCAGAGTTCAAGGAGCATTTGGACAACACTCTCAGGGACATGGGGATTGTTTGGGTTGTACAGGACCCCTGTGCAGAGCCAGGAGTTGGACTCCATGATCCTTGTGGGTCCCTTCCAACTCAGGATATTCTATGATTCTATGACCACAAAAGAAGCTAGCTGGCTCTCTCTCCCCTCCCCCAAACTTACTTTTCCATTCTTCAATCTCAAGTTCTCTGCTTTCAAAAGACTGGTCATAGGGGTCTGCCACTGGTTCATCATCTGGATCATGATACTGAGCAAAGTAAGCGTGGGCCAGTGCTTCTGCTGCAGTAATGCGTTTGTCCGTGTCCAGTACCAGCATTTTCTCTAGCAAGTCTACAGCTGCAAGAGCACCAAAACAGAAAGGATTACACAGTGAGATGTGTGACAGTGTACTCTGAAATGTAAGCTTGTAAAAGCCCAACGTATATGAGGATCTATAGTTTCTCAGGACCCACCCATGACTCACGATTTCTTCCTTTTACACCCTCGGCCCACACATACTTTGTAAACTTGAAAACAGTACATAGCCCTGTTCTGTACTAGTCAGAACAAAACTTTGGGAATGTCTTTGTGTCCCAGGACATGCTAGCTTCAATTTCAGGAAGAACACAGCATTTAATAAAACAAGTCTTACCCAGGGGATTGGCACCAATAAACACATTTTCAAAGTTCATTTTCGGCATGTAAGACAAAGACTGAATGTAGTTTCTTGCCTGTGGAAACAAATGCTCTGTTGAAGTATAATACAATCAAGCCACCAAGACAAAGTACTTTTCAACTATCCTAAAGCACTGGTTATTATAGTCTGTTTCCTTGCTTTGCCTTCTCTTTACTTACTCTGACACGTACTAAGTACATCAGCATTATCCTGTCCCAACTAGCAGGCACTCAAGACAGTACAGGAAGAACTGACATTACCTGTGGTTCATGCAAGACTGAAAAGCAAAGAGGTACAGCAAGAGCTGACTCCCTGGAGTCCTAGTAAGGCTGTGTGCAGCGTGCTGTTCATTGGGAAGCTGCACAACACGGCACACAATACAAAACCAACTCACATCCACTCTCTCCCGAGTCTCAGAAGT